ATTGGGTACAAATTGAAAAAGTTTTAGTCAGTAGGATCTGGATTCGGGTCGAGGAATTGTTAGACTCGATGGGCTTTACTATCGTGCCATTTCTATAACGATTCTCAATTTTTCGTTTCATCTTCTTGTCTATGTCTGAAATTATCTTTTAAAGAAATCTATAAACAAAAATTATTATGTTGACTTTTTTCTTTTTAGAACAAAATGTTTCTAGATGATCTACCACATTCTGTTTTATATAATATATGTAAATATCTATCGTTTAGTGATATAACACAGTTATTGAAAGTATGCAAACGATTATACATTTTAATTGAAAAAAATAATTATTTTTGGATAATATTGATTCGGAATCATTTTGGATTTAAATTATATCACCGTTATGTTCATGAAATATTCGAAAACACGAAAAATTCCGATTATGTTTTATATAATACAGAACAAGATAAAATATATTTTGAAAAATCTTATCAAAAACTACTAGAATTAATGTGTTGTTTATGGTTATGGAATGTATTAGATTGTAAAAATGATAGTTATGGATATATAACCTATAAACGAATAGTTAAGCAAAAAAAACGTCCGCGTACAAATCATTATAATATGTCATTAAAAATCGAAGAATTATTTCAATATTATTTAAATCGAAATAAATATTTAACTAATGAAAATATTTGTCAAATACTATGGTCTAAACTAATTTATTTCTATTTAATTGAATGTAAACGTTTATCATGTCTGGATTTCTTTCCCGTATACTTACGATGTTCACTTGGTCATAAAAATTGTTCGAATACGATACATTCACATTATGAATATGATTCAAGTAGTTCAATGGGTCTATGTGTTCGATTATATTCGAACATAAATATTTGTCAATTTGGTATAAAAGGTAAATTTAAATCAATATTACCTGGAATCTATGAAATTCTATGCCGCATTAAACTAGATAAGAATGAAAGTTATTTCTCATACTTTACTGAATGTTGTAGTCAAAATCGTAATAGAGAAAAATATGTAGAATGTTATTTTATTGCATTAGCTGATCGTGGTCTTGATTGTGAAGTCGATGAAAAAAAACTGAATTATGATTGGTTTGAATCAAACTATTTATTACATGGAAATCAAAATTGGTTTATTGAAAGCATGGGCAAAATAAAAGTATTCGAATTATCGAATATTTATTTTGGATTTAAAATAACTAGTGACTACGGTTATCGAAATATATTATTTGACTATATTCAATTAAATATTGTTGAATAATTTTTTTTTTTTTTTCTTAGCATTGTAAATTATATTCCTTAATAAATAATGTCAATTTTAGTTGTTGTCTATCTTTTTCAAAATCTATGCAACACGATCTAGTTTTTCACGAGTTTAGAAAGTTTCCTTTTGTCATAGAAGAACAAAAATTGTTGAGAGAAAATGAAAACAAATTCTCTCCATTAAAATAGTATCTAGCGGATTCCCAATGGTTATTGATTAAGAAAAATATGTTAATCTTATCTCAATAAGAAATTAAAATGTTAAATATAGTGACAATACTTATGGGAAAGTAGAGCAAGATGTTTATTCGTTTTGTAAATGACTATGTTCTATTAATATGGTCATGATAAAAATATTTATGGCTATATACTATAGTAGTGTACACATGATGGATCTTCGATTGTACGACTTTGTCAAACACAATCTATGATAAATGTTACTAAAGATATCTAAGAGGAAACGGAAAAATCGATCGCGGTTTCTCCTTCTACATTTCTTTTCAATCAACTTTGACAAAACATATATTCAAATTTTTCCGTCGAACCATTCTTACTTTTTCTTTTCTTTATGGATTTTCTTTGAAATAACAATACGAAGACTAATTTTAACTTATCCATCTAGTCTCGTGTTGGCTTAAGAGATCGATTTTATACATAATACTTATATACTACTTAATCAGAAAATAGAATTCTTACTTTTATAACAATTTATAAATATAAAAGCACAAAAATCAGGTCAGTTCAAGTGCAGCTCTAGGAATTTGCCTTTTCTCATATCCGTACTTCTTTTCAACTATTGAAATTTTCCTCAGTTTTTGGTTGAATAATAAGTTATTTTATAAAATTATTTCCATAGCTAGTCATTGAATTGTTCTATGTTACTAGAAAAAGACAAAACTTAATAATTAGAAAAATTTTTCTAATCTGATTGTTGTTGATTAAAATAGTTAATGCATAGATTTTTTTTTCTAATCTATTTTCGATGATTTTGACTTGTTAAAAAATTCGACTGCGTAAGACTTTTTTTCTATGAATAACAATGGCTAAAATACCAAAATTTTGTTTGCATGATTTATTTTTATATAATTTCTTCGTAAGATATTTAATCAAAATGAATTTTTTTATCATTAACATAGCTTAGCCCTATACCAATGTCTGTCCTACAGGAACAATTCAGCTCTAGGACCGTATATATCAATAGTGAAATGAATTAAAATAAAATAAGAAAAAGAAAAAAAAACTATAAAAGAATGAAGTTATAACGATGGTATGAAGGAAGAAAAATAACAAGTCTAAAGGATCTGCTGAAAGAGCTCATCACTCGAAGCAATAAAAAGAGCAGCATTGATAAAGCAATATTCTGCTCATTCTAGATTAGTATATTTATTGCCACGACAAGATTATTCACCACGAACTAGTTGTTAATCCTCGACAAACTATCATTGATCCGATGTATTATATTGCTAAACTGCTTATTGTGTTCGTGAAACTGTTGCTCTAAGCAGTTTTTCAGTTCGTCGATTGTCAGTTTATCATTGTGGTTAATCGTTGATAGATGTCCACTGATAGAAGGTGTGTTAATCGAATTTTCGTTTGATTTTTCAAGAATGAATCTTATTAGTCAATGTTTGACACGTCTGAACTTCAAAAAACATAGGAAAAAGTTTTGGAGATTAACTTTGAGTAAGAAAAAGTTTGATATCAAACATCGTCAGAAAAAAGCTCTTATAATATGTTTTTTTTCCCTCATATTTTTTTTTTCTAGAGTTTGAAGAAAAACTTTTTTTAAAAATCAACTCGATACAAAAGTCGTCTTTGCAAAACTTTATCGACTTTCATACTTTAGAAAGTTTCTCAATAATTCTTTAATAGTAGATAAAGTGTATTGTACGTCTCAGTTTTTATAGAAAGCCCTACTTTGCATGCAACCTATATAAAATTAAGAAAATTCATTATTCATAGCTCAAATATTTTAGTAACCGTTAAAAATAATTTGAATTTGCAGCAAGAAACTCTTCAGAGCGATATTTCCCTTCCGTTTCGCCTTGAAAGATAATGAACGGCTTTGCGCTAGGAGCTTGATGAGTTCAAGAGAAACAGTAGGTCAAGAAAGTTTAAGAGAAAAATGGTGTTTGCATTTAGAGGCTAGCAGTGTCAGAAAAGATATATAAACTGTTTATATATATATATATATTAAGGAAAATAAAGGTTATATTGTTCGAGACCTTTCACACATTCCAAAATCATCACATGCAAGTAACATGCGATGCAAAAGTCTTGGAGAAAATGTCAACCTATACTAGATCATATTGCCAGCTTCTAAACCAATCAAATTTTTTTTTTTGTTAGAAAGAGCAAAGTCTGAACTACAAATTTTGTACCAGAGTTGTTTTTCCTGAACGAATCTACGAAACAAGAAAAGCTATAAGCTAAACACCTTAAAAAAGATCTTGCCACGTTTTTGAAATTTGAAAAGTTTCTACTTCTCAACTATCTTGAGCTATCTGCGTCGAATTCTAACAAAAAATAAACCAAAATGTGACACATCGAAAGTTATATCGATATTAGCTTTGGTAAATTTTCTTAATATTAGTTCTTAACTCTTTAATTAAAAAAATAGGAAATTGAAATTTTTGTAAAAATAGAGTCCTTTGCAAGAATTATCTATTTGGAAGCAGATCAACTACAGTTTCGAGAAACTATGTGTGAACTGAAATCTTTGTATGTTATTTGTTTCAAATACGTCAGATCCTAGAAATTTGACAGAAAAAAAGATTCAAAAATCCTCATTTATTGTTGCAACACGATCAGGTAGTAACAAAGACCAAATTATACAATATCATCCAGAAAGAGATATATTTTTCTAAAGAAACCAAGACTAAATTTAACTTCGAATACACCATTGGAAATAACACTCTTTGTGCTACAAAATCATCATTACACGTACGTTTTTATTTTGCTTTTAATATAAAAAATGAAAAGAAAACAAAACAATGATATTGGGCGAAGGTGAAGTTGCAAGAACTTTTTTAGAGGCGTTTGGTTTTTGGCTTCTCCTGCTTCGTAGATTCGTTCAGAAAAAATAAGTCTTGTACAAAATTTGTAGTTCAGACTTTGCTCTTTCTAACAAAAAAAAAAAATTTTGATTGGTTTAGAAGCTGGCAATATGATCTAGCATAGGTTGACATTTTTTCCAAGACTTTTGCATCGCATGTTACACCAAGTAGGATCTGTCGATCATTCAACATGCCACCTTCATACGCTTAAATTGTTAAACTCACACCAACAACTATGGCCTAATCATTCGTATGCTCCGAATGAAGTGATATATTAGAATTATGAATAAAAGAGCATGATGAGCATGAATTCATCTATTGAAGTAGTCGGTCGGCTTTCTCGTCATTTCTCTCAATACCAATATCAAATTTACTTATAATCGTACAGTAATTGATAACCAAAAGAGATAGGTTGGGCCATTTCTATGTTTTACTCGCTAGTGCATATAATTTCACAAGTCTAATTGTTTATTCTAACAAAAACCGATTATGCACAGGTTTGATAATGGATAATAGACTCTCGTAATTGGCATGCCGTTTCGATCGGACCTACCAATAAACAGACAGAAGCAGCCACTGGATTCGATTACAGGATTTCTGCTTCCAAGTGTCTATAAGTTTTCAACCGCTATTGGTCTGTATTTCTTGATCTGAGGATGAAAACTTTTATATTTGTTTAAGAGAATGTTAAGAACGTATATCAAAGTTATCGAAAAAGTCTTTTAATTCCATCATCCACCTTTGTCCTTTTTGTGGAACTCACGTATATTTTCGAAGAAAATAGTGAGTGTAAGTTTTAAGTTCGAGTTTTTGCGGCTCCCCCCTCCCCTTACAGACAGGCCCCCTTACAGACCATAGCAACCAAAAAAGGACATTGCATACACGTACTCCCCCCCTTACAGACCATAGCGGTTGAAAACTTATAGACACTTGGAAGCAGAAATCCTGTAATCGAATCCAGTGGCTGCTTCGGGCTGTTTATTGGNCAGCCCCCCACACCAAACCAAAAGACACAAAAACAATGTCTTCACACCCCCCCCCCCCCCCCTTACAGACTGCAACAACTGTATTCATCAAATAGTCGATGGTGAAGAAAAATAATTTCAAATTAAAAAACAAAAAAAAAATGATTATTATCGAGTATATAGCAATAATTATAAATGAAATCGAGCGCGCTTAAATGAAAAAACAACATTTTCTTTTTTTAATATACAAATAAATAATGAATTCCTGCTCTTTTCATCGATTCTCAATGAAAACAACTATAGTTGACAAGAAGTCTTTCAATATACAGATGATGTGTCAGGTAACAAAGCTAAAGGTATACGTGAGTTCCACATTTCAGCTCCGCAGGAGCTGCGCTAACAAGCTTTTTTTTTTGTATTGATTTGATGGTTCATAGCAGAGGTCCAAACAGGCCCACTTTTTGAAGGCCTGACCTGCCTAAGACAGGCTTACATCCCTCCCAGCCTGCCTGGGCATGTCTCGAATTTGTTCAGCCTGACCTGCCTGCCTGTCATTTTTTCAGGGCTACCTGGGTCTGTCTGTCTAGGCATGTATATTTTTTTTTCACGTCAATATCATAGTAACAATACAATATATAAAAACAGTAATCTTCATAAAAAGTCCTATAAGCCAATGAATTCAATCTGCATGACTATGGTAAAAAGTCTCTAATTGAAAAATACACGAAAATTTTCAGCTGTTCATTAAACATAGGTGTCACATTTCTTTTTAGTTGAAAGCATGCGAAACTAACGGTAGAACAAAAATTGTTCTCCTCCAAGGGCACTTCTAATCAGCCAAAGTGTAAAAAAATTGTTTCCAATTTACTTAAAAGTATTTTCTCTAACGAACAGTCGGTTTCAAGTGAAAACCGCTCAAGGAAAATTGTCATCGTCCTGAATACACAAATAACTCAGTTAAAGAGACAACTACAATA